GGATAAAAAGAGGAAGAGCATTTTTAGTAAGCAATAAGCATTTCTTTCAAAGCAATTACTTGAATAGACTAAGCAAAAAAGCAAAAGATAACTTCCTTCCCCATATTCCTGAGGTAAATATTCAAAGGTACAAATTACAACCTTACCAGCATACAGATATCCATGGGAAGGAACACCTTTCTTCTGCTCCCATGATATGGTGTTGCTCTCAAGCAAGTGACAATGCCTTGCGCTTTTCCAATATGACTTGCAGCATGATCTGCATGAACGTCCTTTATACCTACGATTTCAGAAATTATACAGGGCTGCTCTATTCTAAGTGCATAATAAATCAATAGAAATAGCACAGAGAAATCAGCTAAACATGTAAAAACAGACATATATCCTATGTTTTATATCTGAAAAAAACAGGATTTATGAGTGAAAAACTGGGCACAAAAACAAGTTGACCATTTACCACTAGCAGATATCTAAATCTCAATCTCAACTTTTAAACGAGAGTTTTCCTCAGACTACAGCACACTAAGAACACATTTAGAATTTTAATCAGCTATCATGGAAAAACTTTACAAGTCTTCCATTTCTTCTCCTCTGTGCAATTTCCATATGACCTCATTTTAAGAATATGCTTAACAAACATTCTGCTCTTTGCTCCCTCCTTTCATTGTGACGGTAAACATGTCACCAGAGCTGTGGGCCAGAACAGGCCTGGGAGATGCAATGGGGACTTGTATTATTCTTTTAGGGAGGTATAAAGATATGTATTACCTTCTTCAAATGAGATGGTATTGTCCTTGGCCCAAATAATTTCCTCATTTCAATAAGACCTCACTAACTGGCAACAAAGTCAGAGGAGAAATCCTACCATCAAAATTTTGTTTTTAAAAAAGCAGAGAAAGAAAAATCTCAAAAACTTTTATAAATGCAGTTTTAGGCCGGGCACGGTGGCTCATGCCTGTAATCCCAGCACTTTGGGAGGCTGAGGCAGGCAGATCATGAGGTCAAGAGATCGATACCATTCTGGCCTTGTCTATACTAAAAGTACAAAATTTAGCTGGGTGTGGTGGCACGCACCTGTAGTCCCAGCTACTCGGGAGGCTGATGCAGGAGAATCACTTGAATCTGGGAGGCTGAAGTTGCAGTGAGCCGAGATTACGCCACTGCACTCCAGCCTGGGGACAGAGCGAGACTACGTCTCAAAATAAAATAAAATAAAGTGTGTTTTACTTCTTCTACTTTTCTTTTTCCATGGATAAGTATTATTAACAGGAAAGGAAGAATCAGGTTATAGGCCTTCCAAACTGTAGGAGATGCTATAGTAAAAAAGTAAAGCCACCTGCAATTACCAGAGTATTAATTTCAACATTCCCATGAGGAAAGTAGCTGTGTGAGAGCCTGAGTCTTGGATTACTCTGCATTACAAAGAAAGAGATATAAATTCCTCTTCTTGCTAACAACCACCACCACAAAAACTGTTCCTTTACAGATAGTACAAAGGAAGACTTCAGTGCTAAACTGGTCAGACTGCCAAATTATGAAAACGTGAAATCTCAAAGGTATTTTACTGGAAAAAAGAAGTATGAAACAGAAAAACAACTTACCCAATATTTCCAGTGTTAAGTAAAGAAGAGAGCTCTGTGTGTTTTCAGCATAATTTTCCAATTCCTTGATATTACGATATGCTTTATCATCTAGATTTTTTTCCTACATCAAATAAAATGCAAATAAAGTCTGTTGAACTGTATTTTATAAAGAAAAGGTGCTTTTTTTTTGCCCCAAAGAACTGAATAATAATGAATAAAAATATTTAGTATATGTTATTTAGTACACAATAAGATAAAACACTACAATATTAAAGTTCTACATATTCAATACTTTCAAATCCACCACCTCAAAATAAGACATCAGGAATAATATCAATGTACAAATCACCATGGACATGGCATTGTTTTTTAATTTCATCTGAAGCCCAAGTTATCAAAATAAACTGACTTTACTGAGCTCTTATGTAAGCACTTTAGACATTATCTTCTTAACCCGAACAATCCCCGCACCAAGAGATAAGGAATTCATACTTTCCCCATTTTACAAATGAAGAAACTGAGGCATGGATCCAAGGACACACAGTTAATAAATAAATAAATGGTGGGGACAGGAACCCACATATGTGACTCGTGAATCTACACAGTCAATGAGGAAAAGGTACCTAGAAAAAGAAAACAGAAACCAGTGCCTACCCCATCCCCCAAAAAGAAACCATGCTCAATAAAATAACAGGGTTGATCCCTAAATACACTATATTCAAGAAACAGAAAAATGAGAATCTAATAGCAAGAACACTTAGCCACTTTTATAATAATACATTTACGAAGATTATTATTAGGGCAAAATATTATCCCCTATTTCACCCTCTTTAAAATCAGAAGAAACTAACACCAGCATCAAATGCCACATGCAGGGTTTTAAAAAAAAGAGGCCGGGCGGGGTGGCTCATGCCTGTAATCCCAGTACTTTGGGAGGCCAAGGTGGGCAGATCACCTGAGGTCAGGAGTTCAAGACCAGCCTGGCCAACATGGTAAAACCCTGTCTCTACCAAAAATACAAAAGAAGTCAGCTGGGCATTGTGGCGGGTGCCTGTAATCCCAGCTACTCGGGAAGCTGAGGCAGGAGAATCTCTTGAACCTGGGAGGCAGAGGTTGCAGGGAGCCGAGATCATGCCATTGCACTCCAGCCTGGGCAACAAGAGTGAGACTCCATCTCCAAAAAAAAAAAAAAGAAAGAAAGAAAGGAAAAAGAAAAGAAAATGACACCAGCAATGATTTCAGAAAAAAAAAAATGCATCCTTTATGGTTTGTTAAATTCAGACATAACTAACATACCATAAAATTTATCCCTTCAAATAATACAATTCAGTGGTTTTTAGTATGTACACAAAGTTGTGCGGCTATCACTATTATCTAATTCCAGAATATTTTAATGACCCCCAAAAGAAAACTTGCATCCATTAAGCAGACACTTCCCATTTCCCCCTCCCCTCAGCCCTGGCAAACCACTAATCTACTTTTTGTCTTCATGGATTTGTCTATTCTGGGCACTTCATAAAAATGGAATTGTATAATATGTAGCTTTTTGTGCCTGGCTTCTTTTAATTAGCATAATGTTTTCTTCATCTACTGGTACTTCATTTTTTTTAGTTGAATAAATTATTAATAATATTCTATTGTATGGATATACAATATTTTGTTTAACAACTAATTAACAGACTATGAGTTCTTTCTACTTTTGGGCTATCATGAATAATGTTGCCACAAACATTCATATACAAGTTCTGGGTGGATGTATGTTTTCATTTCTCTTGGGTATAAATCTAGGGATAGAATTTCTGGCTCTATGGTAACTCCTATGTTCAACTCTTTGAAGAAAAAGTAGGCAAACTATTTTTCCAAAGCAGCTGCACCATTTCACATTCCCGCCAGCAATGTATGAAAGGTTTTAACATCTCCCTGTTTTCACCAATATTTGTTAACGTGCATCTTTTTTTATCACAGCCATCCCAACAGCTGTGAAGTGATGTTTCTTTGTTTTAATAAGCATTTCTCTAATGAAAAGATGTGAAACACCTTTTCAGAAGCTTATTGGTCATTTGTATACCTTATTTGCAGAAATGTCTACTCAAAGTCTTTCCCCATTTTTAAATTGAGATTTTTTTATTGTTGAGTTGTAAGTTTCTTGCATATTTTAGATCATTGTCCCTTATCAGATATATAACTGGCAAATATTTTTTTCTTTTAGTACAATTTATCTATTTTTTCTTTTCTTGCTTGTGCCTTTGGTATCACATCTAAAAAACCATTGCCTAGCTAGGCGCAGTGGCTCACACCTGTAATCCCAGCACTTTGGGAGGCTGAGGCGGGTAGATCACAAGGTCAGGAGATCAAGACCATTCTGGCCAACATGGTGAAACCCTATCTCTACTAAAACACACACACAAAGCTGAGTAGTAGTCCCAGCTACTCAGAAGGCTGAGGCAGGGGAATTGCTTGAACCCAGGAGGTGGAGATTGCAGTGAGCCGAGATGGTATCACTGCACTCCAGCCTGGCAACAGAGCGAAATTCCATCTCAAAAAAAAAAAAGAAAAAAAAAGAAACTACTGCCTAACCTACAAATCACTAAGATTTACACCTATGCTTTCCCCTAAGAGTTTCAGTTTTAGCTCTTACATCTAGGTCTTTTAATCTAGTTTGAGTTCATTTTTGTATATGGTGTGAGGCAGGGGTCAAAACTTATTATTTTGCAAGAGGTATCCAGTTGTCCCAGCATCATTTGTTGCAAAGACTGTTCTTTCCCAAGTGAAATGTCTTGACACCCTTGTCACTCAACTGACTATAAATATATGGGTTTATATCTGGACTCTCATTTCTATTCCATTGATCTATATGTCTACCCTATATCAGTAACACACAATTTGATTACTGTAGCTTTGTAGTTAAGTTCTGAAATCAGGAAATGTGAGCCCTCTAACTTTGTTCTTCTTTGTTAAGATTATTCTGGCTATTCTGGGTCCCTTGCATTTCCATATGAATTTTAGGACCAGTTTGTCAATTTCTGCAAAAAAGAAAGCTGGAATTTTGATAAAGATTGCACTGAATCTATAGATCAATGTTTGCTCACAGTTCTTTACTTTTAAATATCCCCCCTTCAAAAGCCAAGTGTTATTTTTCATTAAACTAAAACAGTGTCTCTGTCTTGGGTTCTCTAATTTTCTTTACCTTGTAAAAACAGAAAAGATGACACCTGAAAATAGGTCTTCTTAGCTAATAGCTCTTTTTGGCTTCTTCTGATTATTAATACAGCCTATAGCTAGCAAACTGTATCTAAATAAACTAAGTAAACTTACATTTCCATGACAACAGCATGTAATTAATATCAGGCCAAGGGGAACACTGACCTAACAATGCATCAGAAAGGTCACACATGTTAGGCCATGTCACACAGCAATTCACTGACTTGGCTGGACCTAGAACTAAGTTCTAAGAATTTAGTACAGGATTCCATTCACTGGAACTGTCAGACTTTCTTTATGCCCTCTACTATTTAGACACAGATCCAAGTACTGGGGTATACATAAAGGTATGTGCATGACTAGTCAAGTATCTGATGATATTAAGGAATAATTAGTAATTTTTAAGGTATGATAATCATATTATGGTTATTTTTTGTCTTTATCTTTTTAAGATACATATGCATTTATAAATCAGATGATAAGATGTCTGGGATTTTCTTTAACATGTCACCAGATATTCTACACATGCAGAGTATTCTCTCTACTTTTATGTAAGTATGAAAATTTCCTTTTAAAAACAAAATTGTGGAGTGTGGTTGTGCATACGCATGCCTCTGCCTGGGTGCCTGTCTCAATGTGAGGGTATGGGGGGTTGATGTGAGTAGCATGCAAGGGTAAAGTATGAATAAAATGACATGGTTCTCTAAAATTTTCCATCCTCTAAAATATTAATATACAATCAAAATATTTACTTCCTGAAGAATTAGCTTAAGAATTAAACAGGAAGAAAGAAAGAAAGAAAAAAATAAAATAAAACAAAATAATTAAACAGGAAGAAAAAGCTTAAAACTTGAACAATTTCGACTTACTCTTTCATCAATGATTTTCATAAGCCATCTTTTAGTCAGATTATGTCTTTTAACAGCCTAAAAGACAAAGAGTATTATAAGTTTTCAGAAAGTACTAGAAATGACTTCTGTAGAACTGAATAAAATAAACAAACCAAATACAAAACTAAGTAAGGAAACATTTGTAATAACTCATCGCCAGATAGACAGCTATGTTAAAGAAATATCAAGGAAAAAGAAAACGTCCCTAGAAAATATTTCAAAACATTTACAAGATTATATTTCTAATATTTTTCTACTAACTTGTCTTTTTTTCCTATACTGCTAATAATTTAACAATTCCACTTTCAAACAAAAACAAAACAAGAATTATGCATCAAATACTGAACTTCTCTATTATGTGATATACCCCGACATTTTATTTTTTTAATTGTAGAGACAGGGTCTCACTATGTTGCTGGTCTTGAACTCCCGGGTTCAAATTATCCTCCCGCCTCAGCCTCCCAAAGTGTTTGGATTATAGGCATGAGCCACTGTGCCTAGCCACCCTGACTTCTATGCTTACTCATTACACGCAAATTTTTTTCCACAGGGTAAAGATTCTATTTAGCAAAAGTAACCACTCCTCCAAAAACACAGTAACTAAAACTCCAACAAAAACAATCCACATGGTAAATTGTTACCTTAGCTAGTAAAGACACTCTAGTAGGAAAGAGCTCACCTAGTGCTCAGACACTTGTCTCTACTACAATTCTCCTAAAAGGAATCAGGGCTCTCGAGAAATGGGTGATTCCAAAGGTGAGGCAAGGGAGAGATTCAAGAGGATCTTAGAATATCTTATTGTGTCAGAAAATAAGAAAGTGCTCCAAAAAAATGATGGAAGCGTGTCACAAGGACATAGCAGCCACTGTGAACGAGTTCCCCCTGTCCAAAGCTGGAACAACCTGAACACCCAAATCAGTACATGAGTGAATTATAAACTGTAAAAAACAAGAAATCATGTGTCGACACCAATAATTAATAAACAAATAAATAAAGGAAAATAAGAGCTCATTCTTATAGCAGAATGCTAAGTGCCAACTGGTAAATGTGGACCAAGCGCTGAGGTTCAGAAGTTATCATTTTGCAACCATAAGAGTAAAGACTGAATCAGACAAGAAGCATTAATGGCTACTAAGTTTAGGGAGAAATTCTGATGAGGAGGAGGATATTTACAGTCTTAAAGTCTCTCCTCAAAAACTGTTGATTACTGCAAGTGGAATTACAGTGGGAAAACCAGGCAAAATTGTGACTAAGTAATAAAAATTAACAACGCCATAAAGGACAGGTGGACGAAGTGTGCCCCTACATGTGATACTCTGAGAAGGACGTACCACCTATGAAGTATGCTGCCAGCTAAGAATCCATAACTTCAATCTAATCATGACAAAACATCAGACAAATCAAAAATTAGTGTTCTATTTTAAAAAGATGAGGTGGGGGGATACTCTTCAAAAATATCAGTGTCACAAAAGGCTAAAAAAAAGGCCGTGGAAATGTTTCAGATTAAAAGAAACTATAGAGACATGACAGTTAAGTACTTGACCCAAGATCAGATCCTCCACTGGAAGGGAAAATGATATTGTGGACATTATTAGGTCATCTGACAAAATTGGAATATGAATGGAAAATTAAATAAAATTGTTCTATCAAATTTAAATTTACTAAAGCCAGTAACTGTTCTGGCCACGCACAGTGACTCACGCCTATAATCCCAACACTTTGGGAGGCCAAGGCAGGAGGATCACTTGAGTTCAGGAGTTCAAGACCAGCCTGGGCAACATAGCAACCTCATCTCTACAAAACATTTAAAAATTAGCTGAGCATGCTGGTATGTGCTTGTAGTTCCAGCTACTCAGGAGGTTGAAGGAGGAGGATAAAGCCCAGGAATTCAAGGTTGCAGTGAGCTATGATCACCCCACTGCACTCCAGCCTGGGCAACACAGCGAGATCCTATCTCTAGGAAAAAAAATAGAAATTAAAAAAATAACTGTCCTTATTATATGTATCATTATTCTTAGAAAATATTAGGCCAGGCGCAGTGGCTAATACCTGTAATACCAGCACTTTGGGAGGACAAGGTGGGAGGATAGTTTGAGCTCAGGAGTTTGAGACCAGCCTGGGCAACACGGTGAAACCCCTTTTATTTATTTATTTATTTTTTGAGATGGAGTCTTGCTCTGTCGCCAGACTGGAGTGCAATGGCACGATCTCAGCTCACTGCAACCTCCACCTCCCCAGTTCAAGCAATTCTTCTGCCTTAGCCTCCCAAGTAGCTGAGACTACAGGTGTACACCACTACGCCCAGCTAATTTTTGTTTTTTTGTTTTTTTTTGAGACGGAGTCTCGCTCTGTCCCCCTGGCTGGAGTGCAGTGGCGCGATCTTGGCTCACTGCAAGCTCCGCCTCCCGGGTTCCTGCCATTCTCCTGCCTCAGCCTTCCAAGTAGCTGGGACTACAGGTGCCTACCACCGCGCCCGGCTAATTTTTTGTATTTTTAGTAGAGACGGGGTTTCACCATGTTGGCCTGGATGGTCTCAATCTCTTGACCTCGTGATCCACCCGCCTTGGCCTCCCAAAGTGCTGGGATTACAGGTGTGAGCCACCGCATGTAGCCATGAAACCCCATTTCTACAACAACAACAAAAAATTAGCCAGGCATGGTGGCGGGTGCCTGTAGTCCCAGCTACTTGGAAGGCTGAGATAGGAGGATGGCTTGAGCCCAGCAGGTGAAAGTTGCAGTGAGCTGAGATCACAACACTCCACTCCAGCCTGGGCAACAGAGCGACACCCTGTCTCAAAAAAACACAAAAAATAGGCCAGGTACGTAGCTTACACCTGTAATCCCAGCACTTTGGGAGGCCGAGGTAGGCGGATCATGAAGTCAAGGGATTGAGAGCATCCTGGCCAACCCCCGTCTCTACTAAAAATACAAAAATTAGCTGGGAGTTGTGGCACACACTTGTAATCCCAGCTACTCAGGAGGCTGAGGCAGGAGAATTGCTTGAACCCAGGAAGCAGAGGTTGCAGTGAGCTGAGATCACACCACTGCATTCCAGACTGGTGACAGAGCAAAGCTCCATCTCAAACAAGAAAAAAAGAAATTATTTACCGAGGCCAGGCATGGTAAAGACTGAATCAGACAATTCGCTCACGCTTGTAATCCCAGCACTTTGGGAGGCCAAGGTGAGTGGATCACTTTAGCTCAGGAGTTCAAAACCAGCCTCGGCAACAAAGTGAGATCTCATCTGTACTAAAAATTCAAAAAAACATCAGCTGGGTGTGGCAGCATGTGTCTGTAGCCCCAGCTACTCAGGCCTGGGAGATCAAAGCTACAGTGAGCCAAGACTGTGCCACTGTATTTCAGCCTGGGCGACAGAGTGAGACCCTGTCTCAAAAAAAAAAAAAAAAAGAAAAAAAAGAAAATATTCACCAAATTCTTTAGGTTAGGATTATGATGTATATAACTTACAATCAAATAAAATTTATCACAAAAAAATTATGAATGTGAATACACATATAGGGGAATAGGAGAAGGAGGAGGAACGAGAAACTGCATATGTGAGTGAGGAAAAATGATTAAACAAATGGGATAAAATATTAACAATAAGTGGGCCAGGCACAGTGGCTCACACCTGTAATCTCAACACTTTGAGAGGCCAAGGTGGGAGGATGGCCGGAGCCCAGGAGGCCAGGAGAGGCAACATAGTGAGACCTCATCTCTAGAAAAAAATTATTTAAATTAGCCAGGTGTGGAGGCACATGCCTGTGGTCCCAGCTACTCAGGAGGCTGAGGCAAGAGGATCGCCTGAGCCCAGGAAGTTGAGGCTGCAGTGAGCCATGTTTGCACCACTGCACTCCAGACTGCTGAATCTGGGTAAAGGATATGGAGGTGTTTGTCCTGCTTTGAATTTCATAACTTTCTGAAAGTTTGGAATAATTTCCAAGTAAGTTTTTAAAATGTTTTTTTTCTGCCATGTCAACATTAAGCATAACATATTTTCACAATAAATAAATATAGTAGTGAAACATAAAATCTAGGGACATGCTACACTTCAACTAAGACTCCCAGATGTCACTGATACTAAATGTAAAGGCCAGCATGCTCATCAATATGTATTACATGACAAAGGTGTATGTATGGAGAACAGAGCCCACTTTGCCTGGCAGGAATCTAACAGAAGCTAAAAGGGTTACATGGCGTTAGTTCCTAAGTGTTCTTGGCACTACTACTACTACATGGCAGGACTCTCCCCATAGGCCCCTCTTCCAAATCCCAGGAATCAGCCAATCAGTCATTACGGATTCCTGCTCTTGTTTTATTTTACACTTGTCTGGGCTGATGGGCATGTTTGATTTTGTAGACCTTCAAGCACCATTCCTAGCATGTAAAAGTACTCAATAAATATTTAATAAATGAAAACGCCAAACTCCTATTTACTCAAGGCTGATGCTATAATGGCTGTAGATTCTTGATTATAAAATACAGCTCTGATTCTGAAGGAAATCAGAGACCAAGGTAAAAAAGCAAATACTTTAAAGAAGTTAGAAATCTGCTGAATGAAGTTTGAACTCTGGAAACTAAAGCCAAATAGAATAAAGACCTTGGTTACAAACATAAATTCAAACTGCAGCTAAAATTCATACACAGAGAAATGGGGAACC